CATTTTCGTACACCTCAGCGCCCGACAAGTAAGTAAAGCTTCTTTGTTGCTGCCTTGCTTCCCGATCCCTAACGCGCTCCTCATCACGCAGTTCCTCGACACTTCGTCGATGCTGCATTCGCAAGGCATTCTCTTGACGCTCCCTCTCCCTTCCATTAACAAATCTGCGAATCCGCATTGCTTCGTTATTAGCTTCTCTTTCTCGTTGTCTGTATTCAAAATTCACTTCCCTGCGCACCCTCATTGATTCCGAATTCATCTCCCGTTCGTATTCTCTGTAGTGCAGGTCTGCCGCTCGACGTTGCCGCATCGCTCCAGGATTTGCAATCCTTTCCATTTCGTGGTAATCAGAGTCCGTCTGTCGACGTTGTCGTATAGCTTCAGCATTTGCAATCCTTTCCCTCTCCTGGTATTCAGCGTCCGTTTGTCGGCGTCAGCATTTGCAATTCTTTCCATTTCTTGGTATTCAGAGTCCGCCTGTCGACGTTGTCGCATAGCTTCAGCGTTTGCAATCCTTTCCCCTTCCTGGTATTCAGAGCCTGTTCGTCGACGATGTCGTATAGCTTCGACATTTGCAATTCTCTCTCTTTCCCTGTATTCAAAATCTGCCTCCCGTCGTTGTTGTTTTGCCTCGGTACCTGCTGTTCTCTCTCTTGTTTTGTATTCTTCATCGCAAGCCCTGCGTTTTTTCATTGTTGCTTTGTTCGCAGTTTGTTCTTTCAGCTTGTAATCCTGATTCTGCCGGAGTAACCGCATGCGCTCCGCTGTTTTTTCCTGTTCTTCGTCTATGTAAAAACGGGTGCCTCGAATACTTGAAACTATATTCGCTGCCGGTTCACTACTGCTGTTGCCTGTTTGTTCAGTGGTGTTGGAGCGGCCTATTTCTGAAAGAACTTAAAAGTAGATAACAAAAAAACCTGTCCGGACGAATTTAAAAGTGAAGTCCTAAGGGAAAAATGTGGCGTCAGTCTCATGTTAGTGTCAACAAGCGTATTATTAATAGCATTAAAAAACTGCGGAATTGTGGGAGTTGCCAGAATTTAATTTTGAGTAGTTTCATGAGAATGAGAAGAGAGAATTTCAGTTCAGTCGGCAATAGTTTCCATAAGTAATGGTAATGCAAACTG